GGAGGGGGCGGGGCTTTGTGGGCGTGTCCATGCCCCGTTGCCCCGCCCCCCCGACCTCTGACCCCTCCCTTAGCCCCGCCCCCTGCTTCCGGATCTGCCCGGGCCGGAAGGTGCTGTGGCTGAGGGGGCGGGACCAACTGCTGTCACTCAGCTCGGCCCCGCCCCCCGGCCCCGCCCACTGCCTATGGGTGGTGGTGGGCGGGGACAGGCCGTGTAGCCCCGCCCCTTCGCCTGGCCACGCCCCCTCCTCGGACAACGCCTCTCATGTTGGCCCCGCCCCTTCCATTGGCCCCGCCCCCTCGCCTGGCCCCGCCCCCCCGCCCTGCCCCTCGCTGTCCATCATGGTGCTGCCCCGCCCCCAAGGTGGCGGCGGCTGTCAGGTAATTAATGGGGATTAATTGGGCTCATTATGGGGATTGGGGGGGGAAGGGTCTCTGCGGGGTCCCTGTGGGTCCCTATGGGTCCCTATGGGGTCCCTATGGGGTCCCTATGGGACTCTATGGGTCTCTATGGGTCCCTATGGGTCCCTATGGGGTCTCTATGGGGTCTCTATGGGGTCTCTATGGGGGCTGTATGGGGTCTGTGGGTTCCTATGGGGCTCTGTAAGGCTCTATGGGGTCCGTATGGGGTCATTGGGTCCCTATGGGTCCAAATGGGGTCCCTATGGGGTCTGTGGGTTTTTATGGGGCTCTGTGGGGCTCTATGGGGTCCCTATGGGGTCTGTGGGTTTTTATGGGTCCCTATGGGGCTTTATGGGGTCCCTATGGGGTCTGTGGGTCTCTATGGGGCTCTATGGGGTCTGTGGGGCTCTATGGGGTCCCAGTGGGGTCTGTGGGTCCCTATGGGTCCCTATGGGGTCCCCATGGAGACTGTGGGTATTTATGGGGCTCTGTGGGGTCTGTGGGGCTCTATGGGGTCCCTATGTGGTCTGTGGGTCCCTATAGGGCTATATGGGGTTCCATTGGGGTCTGTGGGTCCCTATGGGTCCATATGGGGTCCCTATGGGGTCTGTGGGTCCCTATGGGGCTCTATGGGGTCTATGGGGCTCTATAGGGTCTCTTTGGGGTCTGTGGGACCCTATGGGGCTCTATGGGGTCTGTGGGTCTCTATGGGATCCCTATGGGGTCTGTGGGTCCCTATGGGGCTTTATGGGGTCCCTATGGGGTCTGTGGGTTTTTATGGGTCCCTATGGGGCTTTATGGGGTCCCTATGGCGTCTGTGGGTCTCTATGGGGCTCTATGGGGTCTGTGGGGCTCTATGGGGTCCCAGTGGGGTCTGTGGGTCCCTATGGGGCTCTATGGGGTCTGTGGGACTCTATGGGGTCCCTATGGGGTCTGTGGGTCCCTATGGGGCCCTATGGGGTCTGTGGGACTCTATGGGGTCCCTATGGGGTCAGTGGGTTTTTATGGGTCCCTATATGGCTCTATGGGGTCCCAGTGGGGTCTGTGGGTCCCTATGGGGCTGTATGGCGTCCCTATGGGGTCAGTGGGTCGCAGTGGGGCTGACGCTGTGGGTTCCCCCCCCAGGATGTTTACACCTTCCTCTTCGATGGGATCCCAGCGTCGCTGCTCGGGGGGGGGCTGCGGGGCGACCCCAAAGTGCTGGGGGCGTTTTGTGGGGGGGGGCCAACCCGACCCCAAATGTTGGTGG